CAGGGTTCAGTGGACGCAGAGGCTGCTTGGGGCGCTGTGGGGAGACTGCTTTGGGGGCTGGGAGGCGCGACCGCAGAAGGTCTGCTGGCACCTGCTGGACTGTGTCCCCCACCCCCACTTCTCCCAGGCCCCCAGCCCTTGCTACAGGCCTCTGGGGCTCCTGTGGGCGCAGCTGCCAGCACCCAGAGGGTCCCACTCTGCCAAGCCTTCTCCTAAACTGAAGGACACCTGCCCCTACCCACAGTCCAGCTGACTGTCCGGGAGCAGCACCCAGGGTGACCCTGAGCCTCAGTTGTGATGGGGACCCTGGGAACCGGGCTGTGACCATGGCAGGGTCCAGGGGCGGTCACTTTCCGGCCCCCGAGAGCTGGGATTCCTGCAGGTCAGCCGCACCTGCCCTGGGGACTCCAGGCTGCCACCCACTGCAGGACCCGGAGGACTCCAGACAGTGCCAGGGAGTGGGGGAGCTGGACACCTGGCTGTGCTGGAGGGTCAGGCTGCCCCTATGCAGGACGGCTGGGAAGCAGAGGATGAGAGGCTGGGAGGAGGAAGTGCTTAAGGCAGGTCCTGGCCGGTTTCCCGCCAGCGGGGCCAGGATGCTGACGTGGCCAAGAGGGAGCCCGGCCAGGCTCCTGCCCAAACCTGGTCACTGCAGCGAGGCAACGAGGGCCTAGCCAGCGGACCCGCTCAGGGAGCTGGACACGGGGCGCAGAGAACAAGGAGCCCAGGAGCAGAGGCTGCCGGGGGCGGGAGGGGGGCACAGTGACCACGCTTGGGGAGCAGCTTGGCAGCGGGGAGCAGGTGCTGCCGGGAATGTGAGGAAACCGGTCTGGCCACTCTGCAGTCACTCTCGGCCATGGCCACGTTGTCCTCCCGCCAACGCCTGCCCACAGTCAGTCGACTGCCGGGGCACGGGGTCCCGTCTGCAAGGCTCCAGCCTTTCCAGAGCCACCGAGCAGCCCTCCGCGGGCTGTCCTGTCATGCAGCCTCAGCTCAGATCCCGCAGGGTGCGGGCCCTTGGTGACACTGCCTGCGGCGTGAGCCCGGACCCGCTGTGGGCGTGTGGGCATTACGGCACTGGTTTTATCTTGCCAGTCGATAAGTTCGAGCACTCCGTGTATGCCAGGTGCCAGCCTGGGAGCTTTATTGCTTCTCTGACTTAATCTGAGTAAACAGCGCTGTGTGTTAGACATTGTCATCCCCGCGTCCCAAATGGCGCCCCTCAAGTGAGTCGCCACGGCCAGGATGAAAAGCCTATGTCACCTCCCCTGCACCCCAGCCGGTCCCACTCTGAGGGTCTGACCTCCCCCACACAGAGGGCTCGGGACATCCGTCCACGTCCTAGTCACCTCCCCGGCGCCTGCCGTCACAGTGGCCTTCCCAGAACCACGGCGGACCTGACCCATGGTCAGCTGGAGCCAGGCTGGGAGACCTGGGCAGAACGTGGGAACCATGCCAGTGCTGCCTGCGGGGGCCACGTGATGACAGTTGCTTGTGTCCCGTGAAACCCGAGGCGTGGACACCGTGCACTCTGGGATCACGGCGTAACATGTGTGACCCGCGAAGGTGGTGTCTGTGACAGCCAGCTCTGTGTGAGGGCCTCTCAGTCGGGTCAGGGCTGAGAGAGGGGACATCAGGGGATGCAGGGCCTGGCCCAGCCTCAGTGGTGGGAGGCAAAGGCACAGAGTGGTGTGGAGGGGTTGGGGGAGCCAAGGGCTTAGCGGCACCCAGACGAGGGTGGGGAGGCCAAGCCAGACTGTGGGGCCACCAGCCCGCCACTGCCCTTGCCACCGGCCCCTTCCTTGGTGACTCCAGGCCACTAGGCATGAGCACTGTGGGGCCACCAGCGGCCCCAGCATCGTGTTGGTGCCTTGTCTGGGTGATTGCTGGTCCTGCCCTTCCCTCTCGGGGTGACAGGACAAGCTGCTCCTCCTCGCTGTGCACGGGTGACAGAAGGTCACTGGGAAGACTGAGGCATCTGTGGGGACCTCAGTGCCCCAGCCGTGATGTTTCCTAAAGGTCATGGTTCTCATATCCCTGCACTGTGACAATGAGTTACCTTAACACCTACACATGGACTTCACTCTCACATGCAGTTTTCCATCTTTCTGCTGCTGGTCCACAAGAAGCTCACAGATGCCATCATGCAAGTTCCTCAAGGTCAGGAGGCCCCTGGAGAGAGTTCCACTGGGGACCCAGATTGGGGTCCCCAAGGTGCGGTGCCAGGGCATTGTGGGAGCCACCGGAGTAGCTGGAGCTCTCCGGAGACAGCCTGTCCCTGAGGAGGTCAGCAGGGACCTCAGGGATGGAGACACGGGGGTCAGGAAGAGGAGGAGAAAGGGGACCAGCGTCACCCACCCAGCCTGGCTGGCCCAGAGTGGAGCTGCCCTGCAGCCTGGAGGTGGCCCTGAAGGGGGCCCACGTCGCTGCACACACTGAAAGTCTGCACCCTGACTCCACCGCCAAGGCCAGGGGATGGGACAGCTGCCTGCCGCCTGGCCCTGTGAGTGTCCCGTGGAGAGGGGAGTGGCTCCTTTGCCAGGGCCCACGCAGCAGGTGGCCACTTGTCCCACGAGCACTGGTCACTGTTTGTCCAAACCCACAGTCAGCAGCCCCTATGGGCGGAGGGACAGGGCAGTGGCGCCACAGTGTGGCACTGAGTCAGCACCCGCGTGTGTACTAACCAGGCTGGGCTCCCAGTGTCTGGCCACCTGTGGGCTGCAGGGTGGAGGTGTGTGTCACCGAAAGCGTTGTCATGGGAGGGGAGTGGATGGCCATACCTGTGCCTGTCCCACTGCCCTTGATGCTGCTTTCAGCCCGACTGAGTGGAAGCGGCAGCTGGAGGACCTTGGGCACTGATCAGGGCCAGACCTTAGTCAGCAGCTCACCCAGGAGTGGGAGCCCGGCCCTCTGCGGGTGCCTGGGGAGTCCTCGCCCTCCCTGGGCTTGAGCTGCACCATTAGTAAAACCAGGGACTGACTGGCTTAGTGACCTTTCCTCACCATCAGAGCCCAGGCTTCCGCAGAGGGCCCTGGGGCCCTGGATCCCTACCTCACCTCTTGGCCACCCCCATTTCACATGAGGTAAACTCTGAAGCTTTCCAAGCATCCACTCTGTGGTGACAGCTGGGCATGGTATCCATGCCTTTGATCCCAGCCAGACCGAGGAAGGCTGAGGCAGGCGGATCACAAGGTTGAGTCCAGTGTGGGTGATTTTGCAAGACCCTAACTCAAAAAATAGAAAAAGGGCTGGGGATGTGGTGCAGGGCAAAGGCTCGGGGTTCAGTCCCAGTAACACACCACACACACCATGGCCAATTCTTGATAAACTGGGGTATGTGGCTTTGATGGTTTGAGCTTCATGGGTTTATCAAAAGCACTCTTCATAGCAGACCTGAGGCAGGAATGCGGCACCAAGCACGAGTGCGGGTTGTTGGGTGGGTGGGCAGGTGTGTCTGCCCCGCTGCTGTGTTTCTGAGGCTGCTGGCCTTGCTGCTGGCCACCCACCACCCTGGTTTCTCTTGCTGTCCCTCCCGTGACACCTGCATAGTCTCCTGTGCTCCACGGCTGCCAAGGAAAGCATCCAAGTTAACAGCCCATTTATGCCAAGGAGCAGATGTATCCCACGTCCAGCACTGTTCTAGTCTAGGACTGGTGTGCAGAACTTTGCTTCTTAATTTCCTCCAACATCTTCATGAACACATGTAGCACAAAACACAGTTTCCACAGAATCTCACAGGGATCGTCTGTCCCCGCACCTGAACTCCAGCGTGAACGGCCCGTATCTGTTACTGAGCCCCTTCTCTTTCTACCGCTCTCCCAGCCCACGGTCTGTCCCAGTTTTCAAAGCGTTTGACATTCTTTATTCTTTTTCTGAGGCAGGGTCTTGCTGTGCAGTTCCAGCCAGCCTTGGACTCACGAGAGCCTGGGCAGGCCCTGAACTCACAGCAGTCTTTTACTCTCCAAACTTGCTCTAGAGTTCGGGTGTTTGGTTCCTGGTGTGAAGTTCACAGTGAGGTGTGCACCTCCGATGCCCGGTCTGTCTGAGGTCTGCAAGGTGCTCCCCACACCTGTCAGGGCATAGGCCGCCACCCCTACCCCCCATGCCCATGGTGCCTCTCCCACCCCAGACAGGGCTGGGACCCCACTCCCCTGGGGCCGCCCTGCTCTGCATGCTGCTGCAGGGACATCCACTGGGCTGGCCACACTGATTTCTAACCCACTGCCTAACGGCCTCTGTCTGTAGCTGAGCCGTTGTGAGTGAAGTGTCTTGAACGTCCCAGGCCACCGCTTGCCTTCTTGGTCCTGAAGAAGCAGAGCAACAGGCAGCGCTCTGTCCACATCCGTCCCTGTGTGGGAGGGGTCTGGTGTTTGTGAGGAAGGATGGGGTGCTTTTGCCAAGGGGCGGCTCTGGCCTGTTATACTGGAGTTTGCGCTCCTGAAACCACCTCCAGGAAGTCTGGTATCAAGGCAAGGGCCCAGGGTACTTCCTGGGCCCAGGGGTGTGGCGGGAGAAGGGAGGTGACTCTTCGGACCCGGGTGCTGTCGCTCTGGGACTGAGTGTGACAGCTGGTGCACCTCCCAGGTCCCGTGGACCCAGGATCTGGACGTGGAGCTCTGTCTCCCTTGGGGCCTTGTTCCCCACAGCCTGGCAATGCCCAGCATGGCGGGGCCCCTGTGGGCTTGGGGTGCAGGAGAGTGCACTCCTGTTTGCTCCACAAGGACACAAGCCTGGAACTTACCAGCTCGGGCTGCACCCTGTAACTTCATTTAGCCTTACCTGACTCCTAGAGAAAGTATGGTCTCCATGGGGCTCAAGGGGACCATGAGTTCAGTCCTTGGCAATGTGGTTCTTGCCTGAAGAGCAGTCTAGCTGCAGATGCCCAGGATCCCAGGCTCCTGGATCCCATGTGCCCTCAGGATGATGCGCCAACATGGCTATAACATTGCACACGCTGCTGCCAGCCAGTCTCCCCTAACCTCCTGGTGCCCTGTGGAGCATCACTTTGTAGTGTCCCCACTTTGTGAATTTAAAGTGAGGCACAGGTACCGTTCGGCTCAGAGCCCCAGCACCATCACAGGGTGCCAGGTACCTGGACTCAAGCTCTCAGGGCTCTAGACTTGGCTCCTCCCACCCAGCCTCCCAGAGGCTGTGCTACACAGCACACTACAGAAGCCCTGACAGGGTCCTGGTCAGGGGCAAGCAGGATTCGGTGAGGGTGAGGGGCCCCTGAGGAGAGGGTGCCCTGTGCAGTGGTCTAAGCCTCTGTCCTGTTCTCTTGTCAGTACAACAGGGTCTGGATTCCCGACCCCGAGGAAGTCTGGCAGTCGGCTGAGATAGTGCAGGACTATAGAGCGGGGGACAAGGTCCTGTGCCTGCGGCTGGAGGATGGCACGGTGAGAGCCACACTGCTGGGGCCGGGGGAGAGGGCAGTGGGTTGTTCTGCAGGAGCCACCCCGGGGAGGGCACGCAGGGTCTCCAGCTCCATACTCAAACCCGTGCTGCCCCCTCCAGATGCGGTGTCCGGGTCTGTGCCCTCTGCTGTGTTTCCAGGCACTCTTTGGTGCCTTGGTCACTTTCCTCCTCGCTGGGACACAACACCCAATACCCAGCTTGATGGAGAAGGAGTTGTTTTGGCTTCATCTTTGCATGGTCAAGGGCATGGTCAAAGAGCCTGTGTAGAGGAAGGCTGCTCATGTCATGGTGACCAAGAAACAGAGAGAGAAAGAGCCAGGGAGGGAGATGCACCCTTCCAGTCATGACCCCAGGGACCTGCCTCTTCCTGCCAGGTGTGGTAGATCCACTAAACGCATCTCTGTGCAAAACATGTTTAGTCCATCTCTAGGAGCTGCCAAAGCTTTAACATTTCTAGCATTGCTGAAAAGTCCAGGTCCTCTGAGACTCAAGGCAAACTACGAGCCCCTGTAAAAATCAAAAAGAAAGTTACATACTGCCAACATACAATGGCATGGGATAAACATTCCCATTCCAAAAGGGAGGAACAGGGGGACAGAAAGGAATGGGACTAAAGGAAGACCAGAACCGACCAGACAAACGTTAAATCCTACAGCTCCATATCCAGAACTCAGAGCAAGTTGTCGAAAGATGCTAATTCCTGAAGGAGTGACCCTGCCGCTATGGCACTGCCTGTCACACCCCTGTGGCCTCATGCACAGGCTCCACTGACTTCCTGCTGCTTTTCTCAGTGGATCCACGTTTCTGGTTTCTCCAACATCCTGGCGTCCCCATTGCACTTTCAGCTTTGATCTCACAGCTTCATGCTCTTCCCTTTCAGGGGCTCACTGCCTGGCCTCCCAGGCCTTCTGAAATCTGGGTGGAAGCTTCCCTGACCCTCACAACTCTTGTATTCTGCATGCCTGTAAAACCAACACCACAGGGAGAGCACCAAAGTCCCCCACCAGCTCAAGCAGTAGCTGGGCTCCCTTGGATTATGTCTGCAAAAGCCTCTGATTGCCTGGGTAGCTGAGCACTGTGAACTGACTCCTGAAGAACCAGTGCCCTGGGACTCTCAAAGCATTCTTTCACTTTTAGACCCTTCAGCTGAAGAAGGGTAGGGTCTTGTTGATGTCTCATATGACTTGAAAGCACCTTTCCTGCTATCCTGATGCAGAGTGCTTGGCTTCCTTTTAATACTAATATTTTCAGCAACCAAGATCTCTTCAAAACTTTACAAGCCTCATCTTTACCAGTGCAACCTTGCTAGCCAAACTTAACTTTTTAAATCATTCAGCTAGGCCATTTGTTCTTGATTTTAAGTATAACCCTGGCTAAGAGCAGCACAAAGTACCCATGCTACAGCCTGAATGTTGGGCTGGCTTGAAATTTCCTCTGCCAGATTAATTAGTCTACCACCCTCCATCTCTTGCAAAGTTCCAGGAGAGGAGCAAAATGTAGTCAAATTTTCTACCAGAGCATAAAACACATGGTTGGAGTCCAACTGCCAAGAAGTCCTTGTTCTCAACTGAAATCTCCTGAGCTTGATCATTACCATCTGCATTCTTATCAGGATTCTGGTCTTCTGAGCTCTGACCAGAATCTCCCATCAAGCTCAGCTCACAGCATTCTAGAGCTGCTTCTCCAGCCAGCATCTTCAAACCTTTCCAAACTTCTCCCACAAGTCAGCTCCAAAGGCTTTTGAAACACATGATCAATATAATCACAGCAATAACCCCACTTCTGGTGCCAAAATCTGTTGTCTCGTCACTGGGGAACAGTACCCAACACCCACACATCAAAGAGAGAGAGGTTTATTTTGGCTCATGGGGACAGTTCCTAGTTGGCAGGTTCCAAGACGGGAAGATCAGTGGAAGGGCCCAGATAGAGGAAAACTGCTTACATCATGATGGCCAGAAAGTGAAGAGAGAAGGGAGGATTCAGGGAGGTAGAAGCACATCCAGTAAGGTCCCCAGGGTGGGCACTGAGGAGGTTCTCAGAGGCTGTCATGGCTTGGTGCATCTGTCATGACCTTAGGGTCATGCTCCAGTATTAGGGACCATGGTGGGCCATCCTACCGCCAAGGAGGCAGTGTCCCTGGGCCCCAAGTATCTGGATGTAGAGCTGGACAGAGGATTTGGGATGCTGGGGCCAGGGGGTGCCTTGTGTGCCCCAGTTGCTGGAACTGACTCAGCAGAAAAGGAGACAGGACAGTACTTCAGTCACACTGAGTACCATGGTGGAGAGCCAGTCTTCTGGAGTCAGGTTGTCTGGGTTTGAGTCCCAGACACTTCCCCTCAGCTGTGACAGGGGTTAAGGGCCCCTCCCCTCAGTGTGACAGGGGTTAAGGGCCCCTCCCCTCAGGTGTGACAGGAGTTAAGTGCCCCTCCCCTCAGGTATGACAGGGGTTAAGGACCCCTCCTCTCAGGTGTGACAGGAGTTAAGGGCCCCTCCCCTCAGGTGTGACAGGGGTTAAGGGCCCCTCCCCTCAGGTGTGACAGGAGTTAAGGGCCCCTCCCCTCAGGTGTGACAGGGGTTAAGGGCCCCTCCCCTCAGGTGTGACAATGGTTAAGGGCCCCTCCCCTCAGGTGTGATGGGTTAAGGGCCCCTCCTCTCAGGTGTGACAGGAGTTAAGGGCCCCTCCTCTCAGGTGTGATGGGTTAAGGGCCCCTCCTCTCAGGTGTGACAGGATTTAAGGGCCCCTCCCCTCAGGTGTGACAGGGGTTAAGGGCCCCTCCCCTCAGGTGTGACAGGAGTTAAGGGCCCCTCCCCTCAGGTGTGACAGGGGTTAAGGGCCCCTCCCCTCAGGTGTGACAATGGTTAAGGGCCCCTCCCCTCAGGTGTGACAGGGTTAAGGGCCCCTCCCCTCAGGTGTGACAGGGGTTAAGGGCCCCTCCCCTCAGGTGTGACGGGTTAAGGACCCCTCCCCTCAGGTGTGACAGGAGTTAAGTGCCCCTCCCCTCAGTGTGACAGGGGTTAAGGGCCCCTCCCCTCAGGTGTGACAGGGGTTAAGGACCCCTCCCCTCAGGTGTGACAGGAGTTAAGGGCCCCCCTCCCCTCAGGTGTGACGGGTTAAGGACCCCTCCCCTCAGGTGTGACAGGAGTTAAGTGCCCCTCCCCTCAGTGTGACAGGGGTTAAGGGTCCCTCCCCTCAGGTGTGACAGAAGTTAATAGCAGCGCCCTCCCAGGTCCTGCGGGCCACAGATTGTCCTGGTCCACACGAATGACAACAGGGTCATTTTCTGACTGCTGTGCCCAGGGTGACACACACCATGGCTCACTGGGTGCCGGTGGGGCCGGTGGCTTTGTTGGGGAGGACACTCTCAGTTCAGCAGCCACAGTGGGATCAGTGGGTCCCTGACTGCAGCCCAGGGAGAGGCAGGGTGGCAGGGGTGACGGCTCCTCAACACAACCCTTCCAGGTTGCGAGGACAAACCTCTGCCCCCACCTGCCACCTTGTGCTGCCCCCAAAAGGGCTGGCCCTCCTTTTCCCCTCACACAGTGGCTGAACTGGAAATGCAGGTTGTTGATTTCAAACAGGAAAATGGGGACAGGGAAAGTAAAAATTGAGATTGACAAGCTTTTTCATTTTCCTTTTGCAATACTGGGACAGAACTCAGAATTTTTGCACTGAGCTACATCCCCAGCAGTTTTTGTATTTATTTTGAGACAGTCTCACTGAGTTACTAAATTGCCCAGCTTGAGCTTGCCACCCTCCTGCCTCAGCCTCCCACAATGCACCTCATCTGTGCATCTTTTCCTGCCTGTCAAGGGCTGGGCTGAGCCTGGGTATAGAGTCCCCCAAAGTCCCTCCCTTCCCTGCTTGTGCTCTGTGTCTGGTGTTTGCCCACAGGAGGCAGAGAGGAGGGAGCTGTGACTCGGGTGCCTGTGGTCCATCCCCAGGAGCTGGGCTACCCCTCTGAGCCAGGCCCGCTGCCGCCGCTCCGGAACCCCGACATCCTGGTGGGTGAGAATGACCTCACGGCGCTCAGCTACCTACACGAACCCGCTGTGCTGCACAACCTGCGGGTGCGCTTCTCCGAGGCCCGGCTCATCTACACCTACAGCGGTGAGGCCCAGGGCTGGAGTCACACGTGGGAGGCACCCCGGGTCACTGGGGGGCAGCAGAGCTGGGCTGATTCTCATCTCCCAGAGAACCGGGGAGACGCATCTCGGTCCATTTCCGCTGCTGTGCAGAATGCCCGAGGCAAGGGCAGAGGGGTGTTTGGTTCTGTTCTGCTACTGGGGATTGACCCTGGGCCTTCGCACTGAGCTACATCCCGGCCCACGCCAGCCCTTTCTTAGTTTTTATTTTGAGTGCGAACTTGCTGTCTTTGTCTTTTTTTTGTTTGTTTGTTTGGTTTTCTTTTTTTGGTACTGGGGATCAAACTTGGGAGCAGGCAACAGCACCACTGAGCTACATCCCCAGCCCTTTTTGAGCACAATCTTGCTAAGTCATTAAGTTGCCCAGGTTGGGCTCCAACATGTAGATCCTCCTGCTTCAGCTTCCCAGGCATGTGTCCATGCCCAGTTGAGAGCAGAGGTTTCTGTGGCTCATGATCCTGGAGGCTAGAGCCCAGAGCATGGCCCCCATGTCTGCTCAGCGTCACTGCAGCAGAGCCCTAGCTGGGTCTCTTCCTTGGCCACCCTGGGACCCACTAACCCATGGCTCCTGAAGGCACCACCTCCTGGTGTCACCTGTGATCAGGGAAGAGGCCCTGGGGACACTGAGGACCGGAGCTGGCCCCCTCTCCACAGGCATCATCCTGGTGGCCATGAATCCGTACAAGCAGCTGCCGATCTACGGGGACGCCATCATCCACGCCTACAGCGGGCAGAACATGGGGGACATGGACCCGCACATCTTCGCCGTGGCGGAGGAGGCCTACAAGCAGATGGTCAGGTAGGTGGCCGCTAGGCCCTCTGCTGTCCCTGAGCCTGGGCTCCCAGGCACTCACAGAGGTGCGATGTCTGGGGAGACTGGCTGCCCGATGGGGCCATTTATAGAGTAGGCCACGGTCAGGAGAGGCAAAGAGCTGGACATGGTGGCTCCCGCCTGAAATTCCAGCACTGTAGGAGGCTGAGGCAGGAGAATTGGAACATTTGAGCCCAGCCTAGCAATTTAGTGAGACCTTGTCTCAAAATATAAAATTAAAAAAGGACTGGGGAGGTAGCTCAGTGCACAGGCCCTGGGTTTCATCCCCAGCACTGGGGTGAGGGGGTCAAAGACAGTGCCTGCTACCCTGTAGCCAGCTGTCCAGCCCGGCCCCCAGCTGCCTCTCTGGAGTCCCCTGCACCGTGTCCAGCTGAGGGTGGCGGCTGGTTCTCCACGTGAGATGCTTGGTCCTCGACAGATAGGTGAAGGGTTGGCAGGGGAGGCTCGGGGTTTGTCCCATTCCCCACTGGGCCGTCGGTGGCCTTCTGGGCTCTGCTCTTGCCCTGCGTGTGGCGGAAGCCTCCTGGGAGCGGGCGCCTCACATGTCCCCTGTCGCCTTGGGCTGAGCGTGGCGCCAGTTGGGCCGGCAGGGTGGGCTCGGCACTGTCCCTAAAGGACTTACTGTTCCTGCAACAAACGCCCCTCTGGTCTGCCGCGTCCCTGTTGTCGGGGACGTGGGGAGAGCAGAAACCACCTCAGCCTTGCAGGCCCATTGTGGTTCGCCCGGAGCTCTCACGAGGGGCTGATCCTTTTTCATTCTGCTTTCCTTTCTGCGGCACAGGGAGTGGGTCAGGGCTTACACCAGTGGGCCACACCCAGCCCCGTGGTCTCCTCCGGGCCTGGCCAGGCTCTGGTGCACGGCTCATTACCCATGTCACCGAGGGGAAACGGAGGCATGGGCCATGAGTGAGCTGGATGTTCAGGGCACCCAGTCCTCCTCCACTGCTCAGATCAGGGACTGGTGCCAGGTGATCGGGGCTAGACTGAGCCTCTGCAAGTCATTGGAGAGCCGGTGACACCCAGCTCCTCCTCCTCAGGGCGAGCACAAAGCCATACCCCCTCCTCTCAGTCACAGGGCACGCAGGGGCCCTCTAGCACCCCTCAAGGTGGCCAGGATGCAGCCACATGGCCAATGGGGGACACACAGCTGTCACCAGGTCCCTGGGAAAGGAGGCAGAGGACATCGGGAGTCAGCGGGCAGCAGCACCGGGTCCCCTAGCCCCAACCACCCCTGCTTCGAGCTCCCGAAGCTACAGGTCTGGTCGTCTTGGTGGCCACAGCCCAGTCAGCAGCGGCCAGAGCTCACTGGAACCACAGGGCAGAGCTGGCCTTCCCCTGCTGTCCCTCTGGGTCCCTGTGATGGTGGCCACGAACCATGCTGCCTCTCTACGTAGAAGAGCGAACGTGGTGAAACCCTCTCCCTGCTGCAGAAACAACAGGAACCAGTCGGTCATCGTGAGCGGGGAGTCCGGGGCCGGCAAGACGGTGTCTGCCCGCTATGCCATGCGCTACTTTGCCACCGTCAGCAGGTCCGGCAGCACCGCCCAGGTGGAGGACAGGGTCCTGGCGTCCAACCCCATCACGGAGGTGGGTGTCTCTCGGGGTGACCCGCTCGTTCTTGCTGAGCCGGCTGCTGGTCCTTTGTGACGCAGTCGTGCCCCGCAAGGCCAGCCCCCCGCCCTGGATGAGGGGCAGTGTCCACGGGACGGTCACGTGAGAAGAGGGCTCACTGGCGGCGCAGCCATAACTAAGGGCTTCAGATTCCGAGCCTCTCCTCCCTGCCATCCAAATTTGGATTCTGCCGCGATCTTTACCGCTGTGTTACGCCCCGTGCCAGGGTGGAGTGAGACCAGGCCCCTGTGGAGTGTCCTCAAGGCCGACACAGGCTCTACGGGGGCAGTGTCTGGCCACACTTGGGTCACTGTTCAGGGACATCAGCTCGCTGACCAGAAACGCACGTGACTGTCCCAAGAGCGACAGGACGCCCCCCACCGGGCAGTGACATGCACTCCACACACCGGTGAATAGTCGTGAGTGTGTGTGTGTGGTGTGGGGCGTGAACCAGGGCTTCCCACGGAGCTACATCCCCATTCCTTTTTTAATTTTTATTTTCAGACAAGGTCTGTCCAAGTCATTAAGTTCCCAGGATGGGCTAGAAATTGGGATCCTTCTGCCTCAGCCTCCTAGGGCGCTGAGATTACAGGCAGGCACCACCATGCCCGTCTGCCAGTGGATAACTGCACATGGCTATTTAGGGTTTGACTCCCCACAGACTGTAAACTCCATAAAGACAGGACCACTTCTGTTCTGTCCACCTCTGCCTGGGGAACACGTGACACATAGTACCGTAGGCGACAGAAAATATACACAGGCAGGAACCGGGTGGGAGGTGGCCACCAGGTGCACAGAGGGTGCCTGGGCTCCGACAGAGGGCAATGGATTCAACCCAGAGGGAAAAACAAAACTCAGGCCCATAGAATGAGGGGGTGGGATTAGAGGGGGGTGAGGGGTGAGGTCAGAGCAAATGTCGAATTCAGGTGTTAACGCTGAATTGAGCATCTAAGACATCTGGGCAGAGGTGAGCTACCTTCCCAGCTCCCGTGCGTTAGGCAGAGTGCCCTGAACCGTGGCCTGCGTGTGGCAGAATGCGTTTCTCCTGGCACGGAGGCTGAGACCGAGGCCAGGGCTCCGTGCGGCCCCTCTGGACTGAAGAGAGCCGAGCAAATGTCGAATTCAGGTGTTAACGCTGAATTGAGCATCTAAGACATCTGGGCAGAGGTGAGCTACCTTCCCAGCTCCCGTGCGTTAGGCAGAGTGCCCTGAACCGTGGCCTGCGTGTGGCAGAATGCGTTTCTCCTGGCACGGAGGCTGAGACCGAGGCCAGGGCTCCGTGCGGCCCCTCTGGACTGAAGAGAGCCTGGAGGGCCCCGAGTATGCGGGCACCAGATCCTGCTCTCCAGACTCCACTTCATGACCTCACTGCCCGCTGCAGTCCCCCACTCCTGATGCCCACACAGGTTAGGAGTTCCACACCTGAACCTAGTGAGAACACAAGCACCAGGCCCATAACAGCAAGAAGCATCTAATTTCCGTATTCCAGAGAGTCATTTTCCTGCGGCTGAGACAAAATGGCTGGCCCCATAATTTAGAGGACAAGAGGTTTGTCTTGTCTCACAGTTACAGAAGATTCAGTCCGTGGTTGACTGAATGGCATGGCGGAAGGGCCTGGTGGAGGAAAAGCTGCTCAGCTCACGCTGGGCAGGAAGCAGAAAGAGAGGAGCTGGGGACAAGAGTGCACCCTATCAGGTCACCCTGAGTGACCAGCTCCTATAGCACATTCAGCCAGGAAGTCATCCATGGACGAATACACCAAGTCCGGCACCCCATGATTCACCTTCCACCCAGGAGACCTGGGGAGCATTTTAGATCTAAGCCATAACTCTTGGAAAGGTCATACAACTTTTGCACCATTACACAGATTTTAAACATGGACCTCAGGGCTGTGAAACAGCTGATGCTCTTTCTGCTCTTTCTGCCTGGTGTCTCCTGGAGGGAGGAGGAGAGCCTTGGATTGTGCCCAACATGTTCTTCTCCCTCCCCAACCCCTCTGCTATCAGGCTCTCCCCATCAGACCCTCCCC